AAATCGTGCCATAAAATTTATATCTAAATACTTAGGTTAAGCGAAGTAGACGATTGTTTTAACGTTGTTGCAGTCGATAAAAGATCACCTCTCAATACACCCAACAAGCAACAATATCATCTTCTAAATAGTATGATACAAAGGCATACGTGCTATTAATCTGAAGCAAATCGGTTAAGTTGTCAAAATTTCATCTAAGAGCCACGATTCTATAAAGAAATAATCTTTGCAACTATCACTAGCGGCAACACCAAGCTAACACAATATCACATATGCTTGAGGTTTAGTTCTCGCTCTTAAACCAATATCATGAAAGCTACACCAAACAAATGCAATACAAAATATAAAGAGAACACCTTGATATAGTCGACGAAGATCTGAGGCGAAGTGGTCGAGCAACTGTTGAAATTGTCCGGAAAAAGGCCCTCTACCATGGCAAATCAGTTCCCTAAATCAGCACCAGGAAGCAACACCACGTAATAAAATAGCAATAATGAACATTTAATTAATTTGATGTGACTGATTAAAAAGTTGTGAAGATTTTGTCCAAAACAGAGTGACCAAGAGGAAATTTAATTAAGGCAAAGAGATACTTGTCCCTCTGATGGTAATTCCCCAGATGGCAATATATCATAAACGATCTAGAGACTGGGATCAGCATTGACATAAGCAAGTTTGCGGGTGACACCAAAATAAGGCGGCATATTAATTCAGGGTAAGATGCAAATGCACTACAGGAGGATTTAAATAAACTGCAGGAGTGGTCAGAAAATGGCAAATGAAAGTCAACACCAGCAAGTGTAGCGTACTTAATATTGGAAGAACAAATACTGTCAATGTATACAGCCTTAACAACATCAACCTAGAGAGGTCGACTTGTGAAAGAGACTGAGGGGTACTCGTAAGCCCGGACCTATGGCCTAGAAAACAGTGCGTTAATGTTCGAAATAAGGCAAACAGAGTATTGGGTTTTATATCTAGAAGTGTAAGTAATAAGAGTGCGGAGGTCTTATTGCAACTATATCTTGGAGTCGGTGCAGCGAAAAATAACGAAAATGATTCCGGGACTTAGAAACATTCCCTATCAAGATAGATTAATGAAACTTAACTTGCATTTCCTTGAAAGACGAGGAGTGCGGGGAGATATGATAGAAGTATTTAAGTGGGTGAAAGGAATCAATAAAGGAGATTTAGATAAAGTTCTTATAATATCCGAGCAGGATAGGACTCGTAGCAACGGATTTAAGTTGGATAAGTTTAGGTTTAGGAGGGAGAGAGGAAGGAACTGGTTCATAAATAGGGTATTGGACGAGTGGAACAAGCTTAGCAACTTTGTAGTAAGTGCTGGGACGCTGGAAAGTTTTAAAAGAAGGCTAGATGGATTCATGGATGATAGAGAGTGGTAGTAACTCGACAGGAGCTGCCATGCACAGGCCAACCGGCCTATTGCAGACCCCTTATTTTCTTATGTTTTTTATGTTATTATATATCTGTAACCACAGTAACGAGCTTACCCCAGTAATCAGCTCATTAAGAGAAGATAATAAAGGTGTTACACATCCTTAATGACGGGAGCACGACTCGGGTCGATAACGGATTGGTGCCCCCACTTCTATACTGCTACTGTCTGTTACTAAAGCTCTGCCTCACACAGCTACAATGCAACCGCATTATATTAATTCATTATTGATTCAAGAGCTGGATGATTCAAACATCAAATCGAAGCATACTGATGCCTAGCTATATCAAATTTCCAACCATATTCAGAGATGGGAGACATGGTTGACTTTCTCCAGCATTTCTCCAAACCGTTGCAATGTAAAGTAATGTTCTCGACGAATATATAATGTTAGTGAATCGGTAGTAGGAGGAAGACTCGAGCCTTCAGCAGCACGGTTTGAGTACAGGAACCAACGAAGCTCGTTCACTTTGGAATATGCTTTGGATCTATATAGTAGGCAGACAAACGGTTACAACTGGACACTTACATCAGGAGAAAGGTCATTTGATCCTAAATATCCAAGTGCTTTCAGTGTCGCATCATTACAAGCCATGAACACTTTGAAGCATCAGTCCTTGGTTCTCCCAGCAAATATACCAAACATGTCAGATGGGATAACTAATCTTACTAATGCACGTTGTTGTCCTAATTTGTTGTAAATAGGTTGGACTACAGTGTTTCTCTTCGGGTTTCTCTTCCCTGTACGGAAAATCGTAGCAACTGATAAGCTTGGGTACATTTGAGTCATCAGAAGGGAGACATCAATGTCTGGAGAATCAAGAACAACATGTGGATGGACTGTTGCTGTGATCTAGACTCTTGGCAGCCAAATACTCTGTAACTTCGCTTAAGTCTTGATATTGGAGAGGAAGTCTTTCAGTGATATTTTCTGAATTAACGTACTATCTCTGACTTAATATGTTGATTTCCCCTGTGTCCTCTTTCTTCTCATTTTTCTTTGAGGGAAGTGTTGAGATATCTATGGAATACCAATCGAAC